TTATTTGAGATCTGCTCATATTTTTCGTTGTTTTAAAGATGTCAATTTTATTTTTACTAGCCTTTCACTGCATGAGAGATGACGTAGCTCAGGTACAGATTTCGTTACTCGTTTTTGAATTTTTTTAAATATACTTATATCTTTTTCAAGATGAGGACTCCATACCTGTATTGCAAACTCTAAATGCGGCCGCATATAACTACAATACAACAATTTTATTAGTTCACTATTTTTATATTTAAATGATTTGCATATTATACCAAATTTATAGTTTGCAATAGATGATGCAATTTTGGTTTGTGGTTCCCATTTTAAGTCATTCGAAATTAATACGCCTAGATCCTTTTCCAATTTAGTAGTAGTTAATTCTTGTTTTATATTATTGTTAGTGAAGAAATATTTATAGTTTTTATTTTTGTTACCAATATGCATGATTTTACATTTTTCAATAAATCTGGTCATAAGTCATTTTGCACAACTCAGACAAAAAAATTGTAAATTGTATAAAGAGGAAAAAAAAAATATTGTTGAATCTTCTTCAGCTGTACAAGGAAGATCAAAATGTTTTGAATTCTATCAAGTCTCCTTTGCTGCTCAAGAAAATGTTTTCTTTAATCACTTGATAATAGAAAAAAATAATGACGTTTTAAATTATTGGAAACATGAAGATAAGTTTCCACTGTTAACTTAAGTTACTAGCACCACCTGCATCCTCTGTATTTTTGAAAAATTGTTTTCATTATTTATAAGATAAAGCGATCGAGGCTGTTAATTTCTAAATTAATGATCAAGAAATATTAATTTCTCACGTTGAGGTAAAAGAAAAAGAAATATGCGATAAATTGATGCATTTATTGCGCATATATAATTTATTTTCATATAATATATTAGATTATTTGAAAATTTAATATTTCTAGATTTCTTTCAATTTTCAAGTGATATTAACATGAAATATCCGGTAAATAAAAAACCGGATAAAGTTATTATCCGGCCGAATACCGGATAATATTCTTATCCGACTCGGATATCCGGCCGCATAACTCATCAGGGACACCCCTAATTAAAAGCAAATAATTGCAATCTGTGTTACCACGGTTCCAAACTATATGATTAATTTTTTGATTGTTGCTAACAGATCTTAGTGGGATAGTAGTAATCACTAGATAATCGATATCAAAACTCTGTTATCGTCTGGTATTGATACAATGCTTTACGGTATAATACGGTACATTATCGAATTCACACGATGCTGACATCTAAGGCATCGGTATTGTTCCAGGATCATTGGTATCATTTGGCGTCGCATCTCAGTTCTTCACAAGAATTAGCATTTTATTTTTATAAGCGATTAATAATTTGAAATAATAAATTTATATAATAACTTAGAGTTATATAATTGACTAATACAGTGTAATAGACATTCACAAGTTCGTGTAGTATTGTGTATGACATCGTACTTAACATTTAATAATTCAAATATTATCGATAATCAGGAACTAATAGATGCTTTCATCAACCCAGCTTACAGTATCTAAAGTTATACAGCTCCTACTTTTTGAAGTTGTTATACGGTACTAACATCAGTTAAAGAGTTATCAGTTTATTTATCGCCAGACACAAAGATCCGAAATGACATGTCAAAGTGACCGTACTTATCTAGTTTTTTTGAGAAAGAAAAAAACATTCACCTTACTTATGAAAGAAACCAGTCAGTAAAGAAATTCTTAAAGCATTTATAATCAGAACGAAATAAGAGATTCCCAGACAAAGACTGTAAACATCCGCATTTATTTTTTGGCCATGACCTTTATCCATTTTTTGTTGACATCTTTTTAATGTTGATAATGAAAATATCTAAAAACTTATTGAAAACAACCCCTCAACCAAAGATTACTTGGCATAAGGATAAGGATAGTCTATCCTCATATCACTCTCTAGCATCAACTCCGACAATGGTAATACACTATTGAGGAAGATGAATATAAAATTATCTTAGCAAACGAGAATAATAAAGAAGACTTTACTACACATCAGGCATTTATAAATAGATATAAATACAAGAAGAATCAAAAATGATAATACTTGCACTTTAGCTAAACTGCCTATCCTTTAAGGTGTTGCATGATTCATATTAGAAACTCCAAAAACATATAAAAAGGCATTTCCTGCCTTCAGCCTTGTCATCGCCGTTTGTAGATACAATCTCGACAATAACAAGGCAGATAAACCTGTTTTCTGCCTTGTGAAACTATTCCAAAACTATTCCGCTCTTAAAAATTAGGTTTAAAAATAGCCCATGAAACCACAAATGGAAGTAAAAGTGGTATAAAACATAAACCTGATAACTCTTATCAGGGCCAACATAAATATAAGAAAATCCTCAACCATCCACAAAAATAAAAAAAGAGAAAAACAACAAATAGATTTTCTTGATGGTTAAAAAAACATTACCTAAATCTTACTTGTATTTTGCTCATAAAGGATTGTCCATTAATTACGCCACGCAATTTTTGACCGTTTTTGAACCCCCCCTCCCCTCGTCACAAAATCCTAACACTTAAGAAGCAAATTTTGTATGAGTCGTTGCAAAACCATCAACCCCATCCCCCTTCCCCTTTATAGCGTGATGTAATCTATGGACGACCCCTAATAAATTTACAAATTCACATTTTATCTATTTTCCTCTCTTATTTTCTCTAAAATACTAAAACGAATAATGTATAATAAAATATTCTGTTTTCTCGAAAAAAATAATATTTTGTATAATAAACAATATGAGTTCAAAAAAGGATATTCAACTGACCATGTCATTCTTAAACAATCCATGATACTTTTCAAGCGTTAGATACAAAAAATATACATAAGATATTTTTATAGATCTTAACAAAGCCTTTGACACAGTTGTTCACCATATTTTATTAAAAAAACTAGTAAATCAGTTTGTTTTTAAAAACTACTTGTCTTATAGAAAAGGTATGTTTCTTACGATGGTGGTACTGAAAATAAGATAATCACTTGTAGAGTTCCTCAAGGAACTCTACAAGTAAATAACGTATATAAAAGTGATTAACGTATATAAAAAAGTGATTAACGTATATAACAACTAAAGCTGTCCATTTTAGGGCCGCTTTGGTTTTTACTACAAGTTAACAATTGCAACAAAATTTTCGAATTATTGGATTTAAACTTCAGTTACTTTGAAACAAAGTTTCAAAGTAACTGAATGGTTTAAACCCAATAAATTATCATTATACTTAACCAAAACTTATTACGTTTCTTTCATCGTCTTTATCAAAGAGATTAAATTTCTCTTAAGCTTCCAAAATATTAGCATTGGAAATAAAATTATAAAAAAAGAACACTCAATGACATTTCTATGCTAGAAAAATGGGTAATAAACTGGAAAATGCAATTCAATTTTACATCCCCTGCTTACCTGTTTTCCACATGAAACGCGTATTGCTGTGAGATCACAGCTATCATTAATTTTAGAAAGTTTCCAAACAAAACTCGCGATTTTGAAGGTTTATTACGGTAATATTTTTTCATAATAAACTACATATTTTAGGAACTTGAATTACATTATCAGGCCGGATAATTTTCAAATATCCTGGTATTCGATATCCGGTCGGAAAATTAAAAAATGTTATCCGGGTCACTCCTATTAGTAACATTGTTATTAATATAAATTACGGTCGTGTCTCTGTCTAGTTTATAACTCTAGTGGTTTACACAACGGTAAGGTTTTTAAACGAACACAAATTGTTGCGAGATTCCAGATCACTGGTTAGTTGCTGATAGACATAAAACTAATGAATAAAAACTACTTAATTGCAACTAAATATATTTATAATATATAGTTACACAAATGCAAAAACTTGTTACCCATGAACTGAGGCTGAATCAAAAGAACTTCGAGCACAGCAAGTCGACTCAGCAAAGACAAAGTAAAAGCATGGACAAGATGAATATGAGCGTTTCAACAAAGCCGAAATGCTACAGAAAGATTTAGATGATTAGATGGTAGATTTAGATAACAAGATGGTACAGAGAGATTTAGATGATGAGTTGCTACAGATAGATTAGACTAAAACAGCTAAATAGGAAACAAAATAAATATTTTTTATATTAATTAACTTTATATAACTTTTTATTTCACTCAAGTAATTTTTTTTTTAGAAAAGGTACTCCTTTAGACCCTTTTTAATTATAAAAAGACTTTTGAACACCAAGAGCAGCTTTAAGCACTTGGAGCATCTACTAATTTTCTTTACGGAAATAACAGTAGCTGCCTACATATCGCAACGTTAGAATCATCTTGTTCTATCTCCACATTATTGAGGTTTAAGATAAAACGATTTAAAAAAGATTTTAGGAGACGGCATATAATTTTTTTTATAACAATGTTTTTTCCGCAACTTTTTTACTTATAACTTAGGTTTCAATACAGTAGAAAAACATTATTTTGAGGTACACAACACTACCAATAACTCAAATTTTTCAAAAAGGAGATAAAACAAGATAATTCGAACGTCGCGACGTTATATTGTGTAGATTTTTTTTTAATTGTTTTAAAAAAGTAGAGGTAAAAGAGTTCAAATTACGAAAAGTTTAAAAAATTCTGTTACATTAATGTTCAATTATTTCTTTATTTAATTGTCTACCCAGAGTAAATGTTTTTAAAAAACAGATCGGGTATCGCCATTAGATAATTAACGTCAAATTTGGTTGAGAAAACTCAATGAAAATAAAAGCAATCTAAAATAATACTAATATAAAAAAACACACATTAAGATCGTATAAAAATATAGTTAATATTAAGACAATAAGAGACAAGTTTTGAAAAAGTTAGTAAAAAATATAAACATATTAAAATTAGAGTGAATAATACCAGCTTTTTTTTTTACTTTATATTTTTAAGATCTTTTTAAAATCACACCTTGAAACCTTATTGCTAAAGTCCAACAGCTACAAGTATGTTTCGTTATAAAACAAACCAATCACAGATAAAAGTTAAATATTTCCATTGTTTGAAATACATAACACTATTCAATCACTACAAATTAAAGAACTCCTAGGATAAAACTAAAAGTCTGATTTGTTGTCCCATCTTTGATGTGGTTTATGTTTGTCTAATTCAATTAACCTGACTTCAACTGCCATTCTTTCAACACATTTGGGAGGCATCGGAATTGTGCGGAATTCAACTCGGTCTCCAGTTTGTACAACATATTCATCCTCAATGCTAAAACAAATACAGCAAAATTTTATTTTATCTATTATTTTTGTTGTGTTAAAAAGCGCATTTAATATTAACGGGTGTCCAGCTAATTCTCATCTAAAGAAAACTCACCAGAAAAATTTGTTCCTGCTAAAATCTCTATATTTTAAAACAGTTTTGAAATGCTTAATTAAATAAATACACTTGTAAATAGACTTGTAGTTGTCGTATACTATAATGGAGAAACTGATAAAAAAAAATTTTGTATTAGAAATAGGCGCAATGTGTCTATCCCTGAAAAATCGACGAATTTTTTAGGATATAAAACATTTAAATTGAATTTAAAATATTTCTAATGTATTCAAAATGAAAAACTATAAAATCAAAAAACAAAAAACAAGTTGGTAATATAAACTTATCTTTGTTTATATTTTTTTCAAGAAATTCATTGACATCGATGACAATCCACAACTGGTTGGATGGGGTGGAAGATGTTGATAGATTTTAAATAATACTTGAGTGTTTATTTTTGTGGTTTTTATATGAGCTATTGTATTAGGGAATTAAGAATGATAAATGCATAAAATTTTAATTTACAAGTTAGTCTATAATAAATATATTGATTATAAAATTTAAATATAATTAGCTATAAATATATTAACTTTATTATAGAAATTAAACTTTAAAATAAAATTGCAATAAAAATTAGTTTACATTAAAAGTTTTTATTAATTTATATTTTTTGACTCAGTTATATGAGGTAATATATTAATATACTCAGCTATATAAGGTAATATTAAAATATATAAAGCTTTTTACTGAGCTATATAAGGTAAATTTAATTTATTTAATTTATGAAACTCAACAATTTTTTTTTTTTTCGAAATGCAAATTGACTAAAAATCATTATAAAAAAAAAAAATAAAAAAAATAATTAAACACTGAAGCTGAGTTCAATACCATAATCCACTTCTAAAAAACAGTCCAAAAACCCACGGCTGTGATTTAAAAAAAAAAGACAATTTTTGAAAAGTATCTTGATTTTAAGACCTAACCTCTAGCTTAGGACTTGGGACTTAGCAACATAGACATGACTATGTCATTTCCATAATATCAATAAACTCAACCTCGCCACCTTAATGGTCATAAAAAAATAATAATTCTAAAACCCTTCATAAATGACTACTATCAAATTACAAATTTACTTTTTACTTACTCTGAAATATGTAAAAAAACATTTCTCTCTTCATTATCAGGTTTTACAAATCCATGACCTTTTTCACGACAAAAGGAAACAACAGTACCATTCAAAAGGTCACTTTCAGCAGCCATTTTTGATCTAATTAAAAATTTACACTAAAATATAAAGTTGAACAAACATTAATTAAAAAAGTGAAAATAATTTCGCACTAAAAACTTTTTTTTTTTTAAATTAAAGTGAAAGCTCTTTTCAGCATAATTTTTTTTTTTTTTAAATAAATGTAAAGTGACTTTAAAAAGATTACTTTTAGATCATCTTTTTATTATAATATTACTGATATATGAAACTCTTTCTTCTATTATTATTGATGACTTTATACTTTTAATGTATTTATAATATGTGAATTCAGAAAGTTTAATAATTTATTGTTATAATAATTTAATAAAGCATATTTTATCTTTTAAAAAAGGAAGAAGAAAGGCAAATAAACAATCAACTAGAATGCTTAAAATACATTCAAAAAATAAATCAAATAATGAAGGCAACTTTCATGCAGTTTGCTAAATCACAAATATCATAGACCAAACAGCTTCCATAAAAATAATGAGGTCAAAATGATAAATTAATTTATCTACAAAATAGTAACTAATTTTATCGATAAAATCATAATAATTTGGGCAACAAATAAAAATTATATTTCCTTAATTTTTTGTTTTCACTTTAATTTTTTTTTTTGTCAGAGCCAGCATTAAAACCCAACCATAATTATTTCCAAGCGCAATGTTGAGACCCAAGGCATATTATAGACTTAAGTAATCCAGCTAGTTTAAAAGCCCTTTTACCTTTGAGGACTATTAAAAACCAATTAGGATTTTAAAAGACTTTATAGAATTAGATGGGCTAAACAAAAATCCTTTTAAGGCTCTAAAACTCACACACCTCTATCTCTCTTGTCAAATATTATTTTGAAATGGTATTAAAACCTTACTTTAATACTTAATTACTTTAAGAGAAAATTGCAAAATAATTGAAAACTTTAATTAACCCATTAAAAAATACAAATACTTTTTTAATTTTCCTACTTATACTTCATCAAGTCAAAACCTCTAAGAAAATGTATTTTCTCATTCTCTTCTCTTTTTTCTCTTTATTTTGTTTCATTATCTTTTCTTGAATATGCTTTTTTTATTGAATTTGTTTTTATTGATTTAAAACATTTATTCCACTAACATAAGCATCTGATGTCTTAACCTCTTTACATCTTTTCTCCTAATAAAAAAGATTTTTTTTTTTAACTATATAAATATCCTAAATATCTTTAGTTTTTACCTTACTTAAGTAGTGTTTAAATGGAGAATACTGCCACTATTTATAAAAACATATTTGATGAAGTTAATGGTTCAAGGAAAATGTTATAATAAACTAGATGGCGGTGAAATTTGATGCAAAAAGAACATAACTATTAAATCCAGAAAAAAATTGATTTTAAAAGAATTAAATTACCAGATACTGTTGTTGTTAGTTGCAGATTTGCAATCTTAACATAAAACAAATATAAAAAACTATATCTTTTGCAACTTTGTCGCTAATGGAAAATTATATTTAATTAATTTTCTGTAAGCAATATTTTTACTGATATATAACCATTTTATCATTTCAATACCTAACTTCAGTATGGCAGCACCATATCTGCAATTCATTTTATTACATTTTAAACTTTATGATTATGGCTCCTTTTGTTGATTATCATCAACAAAAGAAGCAATAATAGTTTCCTCGTTGCAACTTTCTTGCCTTCTGAAATTTTTACTTTTAGAATGATCTTAAAATATTGAACCTCCTCTGTTATCCTTAGAATAATAGAAGTTAAGAACCAAAGGTTTGTGAATTGTTTTAAATTCTGATGATGTAGTTTATTGCGTAGATCAATGAGTAACTGATCTCAAAAATAAATCCAGCTTAGAATCATGTAGGACTTATTACCTATCTAGCTCAGTATCTAAATCTAGCTTAGATAGAATCATATAGGACTTAGGACACTAGGATCGAAAGAGTTAAACCAAGATACTTGAACATTGCTTAAGGCTCCCTGTTTAAATATTTGTGTATAAGACAAAGTTTAAAACTAACACACAAGTGAAAAGACAATTGAGAGAAAATGTAAATACTGGTAATCTTTTGCTAGATGCTACAACTGTTATACCTACGTTAGTGGAATATGATTTAAATAAATCAAATAGCTCATGAATTTTGTAATGTTTATTAACTTATTTTGTAGCTCAGGGTCAGCAAAGAAACCTGCAGTATTTTGTTTCTGCAGGTGTGCTATTACACGGTCGTTGGTGGGTTCCAACTTCCATGGCCATCACCCTGCTCTCTGAATCAACAACACCTTTTGTGGGATTTGATTAGCATCAATTTAGTCACCTTGACACTTTTAAATTAATCCTACATCGCCAGTTCTGCTTACCAAAATTGGCCCAGAAGAAACCTTATTTTGTGCTTTATTTTAATCAAGCAAGTTTGGTTTCTTACAATTTAATGTTTAAACAATTTAATCATTTGTCTTTGAGTTCCAACTATTCTTAGGAAAACATCTGAGTAAATCAGCTACAAGATAGTTCAACTAATCTTTTTCCTATCTACAATCAATTTGCACAACAGAACTGCTACAAGCATCCTTCAGAGTTTCCTCTGGCTTCATCCTGCTCAAAGACCATTCAGATCCCATCAGATGAGCACTTACTCTATCCTTTTTAAGAGTTGAAAAGGTCTCAAAAAAACTGTAGAGCTCTTAATTCAGATACTGAGAACCTTTACTTCATTGTGTTTGAGGGTTTTAATGGCCTGAAAACTCACACAAATGTTAGATGGTTAGTGTTTCAACAGGCCATCTGACATTTTTTATAAGGCTCATTATCATCAATATCATCCAATATTTTGGATTTTACTATATTTTTTTGTAGGTTATAGGGTAGGGTTGGGAATACCGGACCAAAAATCTAATACCGATATTCCAGTATTAACACTATTATTATTTTTTCTATAATAAAACAAATGAATAAATAATTAAAAAATGGTTTGGCAATTAAAAAAAAACTAAATTTATTTATTTAAAGAATAAAAAAAAAGAAAAACAAAATTCAGTAAAATGTTAGTTATATATTAATGATAAAAAAAGGAAAGAAAACATAAAATTTTAAAGTTCTACTTTTTCTGCAGTTGGTTGCATCTCCCATCTTTGACAGAATTCTGGTGATTAAGCCAGCTGCCAAAAAAGCTCTCTCTGATTCTACACTAGTCAGTTTAATACTCTGTTTCCATCAGCAACTCTGCTCAACAATTCTTTAATTACTTGGTCTCGCATATTTCTATTGTAATTCAAGACCATTTTGAGAATTGTTTTGTGATCCTTTGGTATGTTAGAAAAGCCTCTGGCTGTTAAGCCTTTTCTAGTATCATATGAAGTGCAGATAATATTGAATTATAAATCATCACATGCAGTCATCCTAGGTAAAATAGCTGGTAATGAGTCAACCATTTTATCACTTTTGTTTGTTTATAGTTATAGAAGATTTTGATTTCTGTATAAATTCTGAGGAATCCAAAACAGTGGTGCTACCTATATTTCTTTTCAATAAATTTTTTTCATGAATTGTTTTTAAATAGATATGAAGATCGCTTGTAGAACCTTCATGTGTTTTTATTATTCTCTTACGCAATTTGCATTAGCACACTGTCCTGCTTTTTCTCTTGCAAAATGAAACTATAGTGAATTTTTATCAAATGCTTTAGAATGCTCCTTGAAATCTTGAATATTCATATCAGTGTAAAATACAAATTTTCTAAAAGTTTGAAACACGATAATAAAATGTATAATTTATACTCTTACCAAAACGAAATTATTTTACTTACGATTTAGAATTTTATATAATATTCTAATTTAACTATTACAGCACGTAAAAATATCCAAATTTAATTTTGTACAATAAATTTTGTTTCCGGTATTCCCAACTTTATTATAGGGCATATGAAAATTAGAAAAATCTGAGTTTGAAACTCAGTATCCGACTCCTTATGGTTTTGGATTTCTATTTGTTTAATTTGTAATCAACACTTTTAGATCTTTAGAAGTTTATTAACTAAAAAAAAAAAATAGTGCATTTGTACCAATTTTTTTGACTATATTTTTTTTCAATAAGTTTTAATATAATTATCAGATTTGAATTTTCATTTGACATCACTTTAAGACACAACATTTATGTTTAAAACCATTAAATTTGTTTTTGTCATAGCTTGTTGTTATTTTAGCAGAAAATTAGAATATTAATTATGGGAAAAACCAATGAATTAGCAATATTATTGATGAAATTAACTTTAAAGTAAGATAATAAAATTGAAAATTTTTATTAACTCGCTGCCCTCACATTAACACACTGCACTAAGTAAGATCAAACGTTATGGGTTGTTCTTTTTTTTTTAATTTTCAAAAAAAAAAATGCAGTGATGGGATGAGTTTCATTTGATTTAGACATGACAATGCTCAATTTTGCAATTTGCACAATGCCTGAATGTGTCATACCTAAAACATTAAAAATCCTGTGTGCACCCATGGCTTTAAATACAGCATACTTAATGTTAAAAAAGTTAGGTATCTACACCTTTCACTCCAACATAATCTGTCAATATTTATTTAAATATTTTGCTTTTAGTTGGAAAAAAAATTCAGGTTTCAATTTTTTGCAACATGAAAAGAAATGAGGGATGCTGAATTTTTCTGCACAAACTTTTAGGTATTTGCACAGAACTCACAATAGCCATCAAACCTGAGTTAATGGCAAGAAAGAATCTCAGCACCATTTTGAAAGGAAGTATAAAAAATTTATGTAAATATGTAAAATATAACTTATAAAGATTGATATCAATGTGTCATTTATATTTAATGTAAAAATTCAATTCATATAGCGTTACATTCAAATGTCTGTAAGCGTTAAATCACAATAAAACAGATATACATGAAATTTTATGCTCTAATAAAAAATAATAGATACAACAATAAACAAAAACAAAATGGTAAAAAAAAGAAGAATAATTACTATACATTAATTGATTATTAAAGTCAATATATAATACAATATATAATATTGTTTCACATTCTAAACAAAAGTCTAGGAAGTGAGGTTATAGTTTAAAGATTGTACTAAATAAACAGCATTAGTGTATTCTATGATAACGATGGTAGTTTTTAAAAATCAACCCTTACACATCACCATTAAAATTAAGGAGTTAGCGTGTTCCTTTGAATAGTGGAGTGTATATTACACATTGCTGATGTTGATTTAACTTGGAAGTTGATAAATACAATGGAGAAGTTGTATGATATACAACTTCTGTTGTATATCATACAACAGAAGTTGTTTTTTTAAATTGTACTTTCTCACATTGGAGAAATGTACAATTTCTCCAATGTGAGAAAATAATTATTAAAGTGATTAAATAATTATTAAAGTAAAATTTATTAAATTAAATTTTTGTAAATGTTTCTAGTTAAAAGAAATTAATATTTAATAGTAATTAATATTTAATAGTAATTATTTTAATACTTTGTTTAAAAATTTAAAAAATTTCATTACTTTTTTTTTTTTTTTTTTTTAACTTATTTCTAAATTTTACCTTATCTCAAGATATCAGGGTTATCTTTCATTTTTAACTGAAAGGATCATCTATTACATATTAAAATGTTTGTTTGTACTGTTAATTATTATATTTTCTCAATTTGTGTAATACTTTATTGCCTTTGCAATAATTATCTTATCTTTCAGAACATGATTATTTTTAACACTGCTCTAGAAAATATTGTAATACTCTCTAATAATGATTGTGTTTAATAAACTGAACCAAAAATATTTATCAGTAATTCCTTACTCACTTTATTACTTTACTATTGGTATTATAATAAGTCACAATTGGATTGAATATTATTAATTGCTTATGGTACGAAGCAATGACAAATATAAAACATCAAAAATACTTTTGCTATACTAATTGTTTAAAATAAAATTATTTTGGAAATTTTTTAGCAAAAATTTGTTGTCATTCTATAAAAAAACTTGTACATAAATGAAAAATGCCTAAACTATAATAATGTTCTGCAAGAAATTAATATACTTACTTTTTTTTTAATTTTGGAAAGTATTTTTTTAGACACTTACTAAAACTTAAATAAACTGTTAAAATATTCTTATAGTATTTAAGAATATAACAGGAGTATAATATATTTCTTTTTTTTTTTTTGATGCTGTAAGCATTATTTTTGAAAAACTAACAAAGTAATAAATACATACACGGATGTTGTTCTTGTTCTTCTGCATGGTATTGGACTTGGTATACTAAATTGTCTGTGTCTAGTTGAAATATGTTTTGGAGATAATGGAACAGCAAAAGGAACATCTTCTTTTGTGGGAGTTTCTGTGTCTACTGGTAGGGAAATGTTACTTGTACTCATTTTTACAATTAAACTATAACATAAAAGTTATACATATATATATATATATATATATATATATATATATATATATATATATATATATATATATATATATATATATATATATATATATATATATATATGAATCAGGAAGCTTCCTGATGAACCTTCTGATGGAGAATATATATATATATATATATATATATATATATATATATATATATATATATATATATATATATATATATATATATATATATATATATATATATATATATATATGTATATATATGTATATATATATATATATATATATATATATGTATATATACATATATATATATATATATACATATATATATATATATATATATATATATGTATACATATATATATATATATATATATATATATATATATATATATATATATTATATATATATATATATATATATATATATATGTATATATACATATATATATATATATATATATATATATATATATATATATATATATATATATATATATATATATATATATGTATATATACATATATATATATATATATATATATATATATATATATATATATATATATATATATATATATATATATATATATATATATATATATATATATATATATATATATGTATATATAACAGCTTTCACTGCTCATTTGAAAAATCTTATTAAAAATTCTTTATTCAGATTTTTGATTCTTGAAACTCGAAATGAAAAACAAAGGTCGCTATTAATAATTAAATTAGTAAAATTGATTCTAAAAGACTTTTTCTTTCGTTAAATAAAAGTTTAGACGTGATGATTGCGTCTGATCAGTTAATAACTGCTCGCAACTGTCCCTCACTTTGAATTTGATAAACAAATCTAGTGAAAATATACTGATTGAATGATTTGAAATGAAAAAAAAGTTGGATAAGTGATTCTAATAACTAAACAATGGTAGAACACAGCTCTCGTTTGTGTTTTTTCTTAAATATATTTATAATTATTAATTGAATAGCTTATATCGTTATAATTGCAATATTAGTATATGTATACTATATAATAATCTATAATATATAATAAAATAATCATAATATATTTATAATATATAATAATTTATAATATACAATGATAATATAATTATAATTATATATAGAATTAGCTTAAATCGTTAAGCAAGATACTTCCGTACGTGCGTAAACAGTGTTAATTACTTGTCTCATTAAATTTTTGGTATGTACCCTCTTAACTGTTCACAGGAATTCTGGATTCCGTTGTTTAAAACAGGTTTTTTGTGTTTATGCACGTGCGCGCACCTGATTATTTTAAAACAAAGCGGCGCAAATAACATAAATTGAAGTGAACAGAAATTTTTAAAATTTTTTTTTATTGCAAATCAAATTTATCTTGGAACTCGTTTGTAAGTGATTCATCAACCGGATATTTTGTTTTCGGTTGTTTGCGCCAAATTACATTTCCAAATTATCACGCAACAAATTGTTTAAATATTGTCTATGTTTACAGTTTGTTTAATGTAATATTTTTAAAAGTAACAACTTAAAAGGAAAGTCTATTCCACTGGAATCGATGCCCTAAGTGTCAAGTGTCTCAATATCTTTAGGTATACATAGGACATAGGACTGGATATAAGTGAATATTTGAAGTTGTTTTTTGGACGCTTTGGTCAAGTAAAATGTGTCTTTTAGACATTGTACTAAGCATTGATGCCATATTGTTTAACTACTGGATACCTTTCATTTATGCAGTATATATTACACATAGCAGAAATCGAAATTATATGGAAGTTAATAGATGTAGTGGATAAGTTGTATATTGATGTAAAACTTCATTGAATTCGATTCTAATAATTAACGTTTTTATTGTTTAAAAATAAACATTTCATACTCATTTCAAAAAACTTGTTGAAAATTATTCAAATTTTTGATTCTTGCTGCCTGTGACTTTTGAATGTTTTGCAGCCTGAAAAAAAAAAAAGATTTGAATTACAAAAAAAGATAAAGTTTTCAAAATAGTAATATAAATGCAAGTAACTGATTATGGCATTTACAAATGAAATAATAAAAAAAGATGTTGAAAAAATGTTTACGGAAAATAAAAAAGAAAGATTTTACACAAGATAAATAAAACAACAGGAAAAAAAAATCGAAAACATTTAAGTGCAAGTATAAAAAATTTATCCGAGAGACTGAATAAAGTTGTCGAGTGACTGAATAATGTCGAATCAAGTTAAGTGAAAGCGAAAGTTGAAAGTGAAAGCAAGATTGATATGAAAGTGAGCTCCAACTTTCATAAATTCTGAATAATAAAAAAATTATGACCATCATTCACAATAATAATGAAATACATAATAATAAATAAATAATTCACAATAATAATGAAAAACAACAGGCATTATCCGAAACAGCAAATCCAAATTTATATACAAGGAAAAAGAGTCGATCTCGGTGAAATAATTTAAAAGAAAGATGATGACACATATTTAAAAACAAAAAGATGATTAAGTTCTTTATCGTGCTTAGATTAATAGTTCTTAATCAAATTGTGCATAGGGATTCAAATAAACCACGAACAATAATTACTTAGAAACTTTTAAAATTTAAAGATAAAGTATATCTTAAAAATAAAAAAAAACCTTTTAACTGAAAAAAAATCTTCATTAATAAAGATTTTTGCACCGAGAAAATGCCAATGGAGGGATTTTAATAATAAACGAAAATAGACGAAAACAAAACATTTACAAAAAGAAAATTTTTAAGCATCTAGTACAATAAACTAATCATACTTGATTAGGCTGCGAAGAACTAAAAATTCAACTTCTTGTTTTGATATTTTGTTTAAAAAATTTTACTTGCTAACATGGATGAAAAACTTTAATTAGTTTTTTTCTAATGAATGATAGTAAATATGAATACATAATAAATAATTTCCAAAAACTATTTACAACCTATTCAATATCTTGATCAGTAGTGTATATATATATATATATATATATATATATATATATATATATATATATATATATATATATATATATATATATATATATATATATATATATATATATACATACATATATATATATATATATATATATATATATATATATATATATATATATATATATATATATATATATATATATATATATATATATATATATATATATATATTTATATATATATATATATATATATATATATATATATATATTTATATATATATATATATATTTATATATATATATATATATATATATATATATATATATATATATATATATATATATATATATATATATATATATATACTTTTTTAGTTTAAAACTTAAACATTTAATGTTTCTTGATTATTTCACAACAATAAAAAATAATTAAATAGTTGAATAGATAAAACAAGAAAATGTAAAAAACATGAGTGACTAATACAAATCAAGTTCTGCAACACAAGCAGAGATAACAACTTCCCCTCTTCTTTCCTCATACAGCATTTTTATTAACATCTTTTATTAATGATTAATTTAAATTAATATAAACATTCAAAGCATTCGTAAAAGATTTCATCATTTAAAACTATAAGAGTAAGTTAGCCGAGTTTCCTTCAACATTCAGAATTTTTAATTTATTTTAGGTGGGAAATTTTATATCGGAGTTTTGGTTTTTTACTAGAAAATGCGAAAAAAAAGTTTTATGAAATATTTATTTCTTAAAATTAATTTTACATGAAGCTATGTTTAACCGGATTTATATTTTTTTTCATCTCATTTCATGGTTAGTCACCATTAAAATCAATAAAAAATAATAATAATAACGGAAAGTTTTTTCTGATTGGCTGATCAATAAAAAGGAAAAATCCCTTTACATTAAAAATACTTTGAAAAAATTAAATTACTTGATATTGAAATAAGGAAGTAAACGCGTAGATAAATATTATTTTATTATTTTTTATTCAACATAAAAAAACATATATTCATAACAAAAAAACTCTATTAGACTATTTTTAAATTTTATTTTTCAATTATTTAAATAAGTATAATATTTATTTAAGTTTATTATTTAAAATCGATAAAGTTTTAAATTACTAAATTATTTGTTGAATAGTTTGAAATTATTGTTTAAATTACTAAAAAATCTGTTTATAAAAAAATGATTCTTAACACTTTATATTATGATTTCTCAATAATTATTTTTCTATGAGGCTTAGGTGAGAGGTAACTTGAAACAATTACTAATTTGCACTATAAATTGCACTAATTTACTTTATTGTATGAACTAAACCATAATTTCAAAATAATTAGTATCAGGGAAGAACCTGGCTTAAAAACAATAAAATTCTAATTATGAACAAAGTAATTACGAATCAATTTTTTAAACATGTCAAATTTGGCGTGGTTAAAACTACCAGCGCGCTGGTGGTTTTAACCATAGTTGCAAACCTACGCTGCAGCGTAGGTTTGCAAACCTACACTGGTGGTATTTTTGTTCATAAATCTACTAAACGTTTTTTTACATAATGACCGCGATATTAATCAAACTGATTGTGATTTGTTATGCATTGAAATAAGTAATAAAGCGCCAGATAATACTATTTTTAATTCTTTTTATAGATAACCAGCTGGTAGTTTAAAAACAAATTAAAGTCTATTTAAAAAACTTTCAAAGCAAAACAAAAATAACAAAGAATCAGTTTTACTTAGCTGCGCGAAATTGTTGAGTTATGCTTTAAATGCTCAATTTTTTAAATTTTAATTCAACGAGAATATTTTTTAGTTTTATTTTTGATTTTTGCTTTTAGGTGCCCCAAGAAGACCTAACGGTCTTCTTGGGGCACCTAAAAGCAAAGCACTTCGGAAAAGCATTTAACTAGTTCCAATAATAATAACTTATGCCTACTTCCTTACCGATGGCGCGAAATAAGGGCTCTGACCACTACGCCACGGCCGCTTAACTTAAATAACTAAAAACTTATTGAGATTACTTGGTAATATATACTTGGAAAAAGCATGGTTTTCAAAATTGCC